ATAAAGGGCATCCAAATTGGTAATGAAGAAGTTAAACTGTCCCTGTCTGTGGATTATATGATACTATACTATATACTATAGAAAACCCTAAAGACTCCGTGATAAAACTACTGGGACTAATAGAAAGATTCAGCAGAGTAGCAGGATACAAGATAAACATACAAAAATCAGTTGGATTCCTATACACCAATAAAGAGAATGATGAAAACAATATCAGGAAAACAATACCATTTATAATAGCTCCTAAAAAAAAAAAAAATTTAGTAATGAATCTAACCAGGGATGTAAAAGATCTATACAAAGAAAACTACAAAACACTACTGCAAGAAACCTGAAGGGATCTACATAAATGGAAAAACACCATGCTCATGGATAGGTAGACTCAACATAGTGAAAATGACAATTCTACCCAAAACAATTTACAAATACAATACAATCCCAATCCAAATGCCAACAACATTCTTTAAAGAGGTGGAAAAACTAATCATTAACTTTATATGGAAAGGGAAGAGGCCCCGAATAAGTAAAGCACTATTGAAGAAGAAGAATAAAGTCGGAGGGACTCGCACTACCTGACCTCAGAACCTACTATACAGCTACGGTAGTCAAAACAGCCTGGTACTGGTACAAAAACAGATACATTGACCAATGGAACAGAACTGAGAAACCGTACGTAAATCCATCCACGTACGGTCACCTGATCTTCAACAAGGGCCCAAATTCCATCAAATGGGGGAAAGACAGTCTTTTTAATGAATGGCGCTGGCAAAACTGGATGTCCGTTTGCAAAAAAATGAAACAGGATCCATAGCTCACACAATATACAAAAAGTAATTCTAAATGGATCAAAGACCTAAATATAAGTTAATAGAAGAAAAAATAAGATCAATGCTAGAAGCCCTAATACATGGCATTAACAGGATACAAACCATAACCAACAACACACAAACTCCAGAAGATAAGCTAGATAACTGGGATCTTCTAAAAATCAAACACCTACGCTCTTCAAAAGACTTCACCAAAAGAGTTAAAAGAGAACCTACAGACTGGGAAAAAATTTTTGGACATTACAAGTCAGACAAAGGACTAGTCTGTATAATCTACAAGAAAATCCAACACATCTACAACAAAAAGACAAATTATCCAATTAAAAAATGGGCAAAGGAAATGAACAGACATTTCACCAAAGAAGACATTCAAGCAGCCAATAGACACATGAGGAAATGATCGTGATCACTAGCCATTAGAGAAATGCAAATTAAAACCTCAGTGAGATACCATCTCACCCCGGCATTACTAGCACAAATCAAAAACAATGGAAATAACAAATGTTGGAGGGGTTGCGGGGAGATCAGAACTCTTACGCACTGCTGGTGGGAATACATAATGATACAACCATTTTGGAAAATGATATGGTGCTTCCTTAGAAAGCTAGAAATAGAAATACCCTATGATCCAGCAATCCCACTCCAAGGAATATATCCTAGAGAAATAAGAGCTGTCACACGAATAGACATATGCACACCCATGTTCATTGCAGCATTGTTCACAATAGCAAAAAGATGGAAACAACCTACATGCCCATCAACAGACGAATGGATAAACAATGGTACATACACACAATGGAGTATTATGCAACGATAAAGAACAATGATGAATCTGTGAAGCATCTCATAACATGGATGAAACTGGAGGACATTATGCTGAGTGAAATAAGTCAATCATGAAAGGACAAATATTGTATGAGTCCTCTAATGTAAAAACCCATGTAAAAGTTTACACACAAAAAGAAACAATCTTTGTTGGTTACGAGGGATGGGAGGGTGAGGGAAAACTAAATAGACAATAGATAAGTGGTAACTTTGGTGAAGGGTAAGACAGTACACAATACTGGGGAAGCCAGTTAAACTTGTACAAGGAAAGGTCGTGGAAGCTCCACAGACACATCCAAACTCCCTTAAGAGACTGAATTGCTGGGTGGAGGGCTGTGGGGACCATCGTCTCTGGGAACATCTAGCTCAACTGGCACAACACAGTTTATAAAGACAATGTTCTGCATTCTACCTTGGTGAGTAGTGTCTGGGGTCTTAAAAGCCTATGCGCAGTCGTCTAAGATACTCCGCTGGTCTCACCCCTTCGGGAGCAAGGGTGAATGAAGAGAACAGGATACAAGGGAAAGATTAGTCCAAAGGACTAACGGACCATGGCCACCAAGGTCTCCACCAGACTCAGTCCAGTACAGCTAGATGGTGCCCAGCTACCACCACTGACTGCTCTGACCAGGATCACAACAGAGGGTCCTGGATAGAGCTGGAGAAGGATGTAGAACAAAATTCTAACACCAAAAAAAAAAGACCAGATTTACTGGCCTGACAGAGACTTGAGAAACCCTGAGAGTATGGCCCCCGGACACCCTTTTAGCTCAGTGGTGAAGTCACTCCCAAGGTTCACCGTTCAGGCGGGGATTGAACAGCCCCATAAAACAAAACGGGACTAAGGCACAGCAGTCCAAGGGCAAGGTCTAGAAGGCAGGAGTGGACAGGAAAGCTAGTGATAGGGAACCCAAGGTTGAGAAAGGACAGTGTTGAGTTGTTGTGGGTTTGTTAACCAATGTCATAAAATAATATGTGTACTGAGTGTGTAATGAGAAACTATTTGTTCTGTAAACCTACACCTAAAGTACAATAAAGAAAAATTAAAAAAAAAATAAAATAAAAAGGGAGAGTGCTATTTTAGATGGATGGTTAGAGAAGGCTTCTCCAGCTAGATGACATCTGAGCAGAGACCTGAATGAAATACGGGACCAAGTCCTGATAATAACTGAAGGACGGACATGTCAGGCACAAAGGAAATAAAAATTAATCCTAATGAAGTCGTTGTCTATTATGTTTTAGTTTACGCTTAACCTCTGCATGTTTATTTTAAATCTACCTTACTCTGTTGAATATAGCAGTTTTTTCAGTTCAGTCTAAGAGGACTTGTTTGTTGAGAATAATTGTTTTAAATTTATGTTTCATAAATGTTCACAGTCTTGGATATCACAGTGATAAGTTTTATGTTCCTTCCTTCCTGTAGAAAATCAGCAAGTGCAGTTGACAGAAGGGTCACATTCACACTACAATATCAATTGCAACTCAACAAGGACTGCAGTCGCCAAGGAGCTTAATTATAATCTAGACACTCATCCATCTACAGGGAGGATCAAGGCAGTTGAGAAGAAGGAAGCCTGTAATGTAGAAAGCAACAGAAAAAAGGAAATGGAACTTCTTGGCACTGTTTCTAAAAACGAATCCATTCCCGAAGTTGAAGCCCTGCTGGCAAGATTACGAGCTTTATAAATTAAACTGGTAAAAAATGATTAAGCCAAATATAAAGCCATGCTCTGAGCTATATAACACTTGAAAAAAATGCTTTTATATAAGTGACTTTATATAGTTTTAAATTATGATATATATTAGAAATATAAAGCTAGATGCATGATTACAGTGCTTTTTCTATGTACTTGAGGCTTTGGCTTATTCAAGATTATAATGGACTTTAATGCCTTTTTTGTCTCTTGTCATTCATCTGTTCTATATTTGGGGGTTAAATTATACATAATGCTTTAGAGAGCGGGTAGGTGACCATGTGTTCAGCAATGTGTCCTTAAGAAAATACCATCTTTCTAAGTCACTATATTTTTTTTTTCACTTTACTATTTTGAACATTAATGAATGTTAAATCATCAACCTCATGTCTTGCTACATATCCATGTATATTCCATGTATATTAGTTATACTGGCCCAGGCTTCTCTTTAATCAGGATCTACATGCTACCAGCATAGCATCAAAAACACACAACTGAATATATGAGGAAATGACTGGTAAGCTCATTATTATCATGTTGAATTTGTGGTAGTTTGATGCTGTAGAGGACTATAAGGCAATTGAGCACATTTCCGAGAATGATGTGATAGGAATGTATGCACTCTGTTTGCAAAACGCAGGTGCTTTTGTGTCAAGTGGATACAGACAGTATTATAATGCTACTGAGAGGGCATGTTTTCCCCTGGGAATTATGACTCTGGAATAAAATTGCCATTTTGAAACTTCCCTGGTAACAAATTTCTTGATTTTTGAAGTACGTAAACTTAGAATTGCAATTTCTGTGATCTGACAATCAGTAACTTTAACAAAGATTGTAATACAGGTTTCAAGGAAAGTTTTCATATGCAGATGTTGCTATTTTACCTCATCTGGGGCATCATTGCTCTTTTAGTTCTGTATCAAAGAAAATAAACTTGCTACTTGCACTAAATGAAAAAAAATGCTTGCTTTCTTCTCTTTTATTTTTTAGTATATTCTGTGGATAAACTAGAGATACACTGCTGCTGTTTGTCTATCTAAGCATCTATTTTGCTTTATTACATGTAATAAGGAAGTGACTGCTCTTTTAATTCAGTTAAAAAGCAGTTATATGGACTAGTCTGGCAAGGTCCAATGCTTTTTATTTCCTTGTTTAAGTTGCCACCTCCTTTCAGCTCCAAGTTAATAAAATTAATTAATTAGAACTAAGAACCAGGCCCTGTTTATAGACATTGGGGAACAGAGTGTTATCCATAGCCCATGTGGGAATAAATTGTCCTTTTATGTATTGCTGAAATGTGCATTTTTGCCCTACAGTTGCAATTCTTATTTTCCTGAAAACACATTTTACAAATCAAGAAAGGTGGAGGACGTTTACACATTTAAGCAGACAGCAGCCCTATCAGCAAGGCAGGGTGGTTTTGTTTAGGAAAGAAGTTAAATGAAAGAATTCTAAGTACCCATTCTTAAAGTGATTTTGGAAAGACTTGGCTTTTCAGAAACAAAACTTAAATTCAACCAGATAGTTTGGACACACAAAACATTAAGTAAATGCTCTGGGAACTTGGGGCCTGGGAGTGTCCACAGGGGAGAAAAAGCCCAGCAAGTAAAGAGAAGTGAAGATGACACAGACTCCCAGGGGCAGAGGATGGCAGGGAAGCCCAGAAACCAAGTAGTGGCCCCAGAGCCTCTCTCTGCAGGAACTGAAGGACAAGCTTCTCGTAGGAGAGCCAAGAGCCCGAGGCAAGCACAGCCTCAGCAGCTGGGCTCCCACAGGTGAGTAGCCTCTCCCTCTCCCTGCCTCTCTCTGACAGGAGCCAGTTCTGAACACGCCTGACTAGGAGAACTGTAGCTAAGGAGGGGCAAACTCAAAACAGCCGACAGAGAGGCTAAGTGCCAATGCCAGGAACAGATCGTTTTCTGTAGGAGATATTTCCTTAATAAGTGAAATGCCTCTTCAGCAATGGGGTGGGAGCATAAGTTGAGTTTTAAAATTCGAAATATGTCTTTAGTCAATTGTAGATGAAAACTGTAACAATATTAATTTGGGGGCAGATGAGGTAGAGTTTTGTATTTTATGCAAATAGAGTTTGTTCATTAGAATTAGCAGGTAATACTGGTCTGACAGTATCTTAGTTATCTAGTGCTGCTGTAACAGAAATACCACAAGTGAACGGCTTTAACAAAGAGAAATTTATTCTCTCACAGTCTAAGAGGCTAGAAGTCTGAATTCAGGGTGCCAGCTCCAGAGGAAGGCTTTCTCTCTCAGTTGGCTCTGGGGGAAGGTCCTTGTCTTTAATCTTCCCCTGATCTAGGAGCTTCTCAACTGAGGGGTCCTAGGTCAAAGGACGTGCTCCCCTCCTGGTTCTTCATTCATGGTGGTAGGAGGTCTCCCTGTCTCTGCTCGCTTCTCTCTTTTATAGCTCAGAAGAGATAGGCTTAAAACACAACCTAATCTTATAGGTTGAGTCCTGCCTCATTAACATAATTGCCACTAATCCCACCTCATTAACATCATAGAGATAGGATTTACAACACATAGGAAAATCACATCAGATGACAAAAGAGTGGACAATCACCCAATACTGGGAATCATGGCCTAGCCACATTGACACACATTTGGGGGGACACAATTCAATCCATAACAGAGACTGGAGGAACCCACGAGACTATGGCCCTAAGACATCCTTCTGAACTGGAACTGAAGCCATTCCTGGAGACGACCCTTCAGCCAAACCATAGACAGGCCTATAAAATAATCAATAACATCTGAGAGGAACATGCTTCTTAGAACAATTATACGAGATCAAAAGGGCAACATTTGCCCAAAAGCAAAGATGAGACGGGAGAAAGGAGTAGAATATCAGGATGAAAGGAAATGGGGAGGCTAGGGTGGAAATGGGGAGAGTGCTCACACTGTGGGGAATGAATCCAATGTGATGGAACACTTTATGTACAAACTGTTGAATGGGAAACTAATTTACTATGTAAACTTTCACCTAATGCACAGTAAAAAAATTTTTAAAAAGAAGAATTGGCAGGTGAAAGTCCAACTCAAAACCATCTGACGCAGCCCTGCCCTCCACGGAGGATGTTCCATCCAGGCCAGAGACAGACCCAGAGAGATTTCCTCCCTTTCTTTATTGCCAACGTGGAGAATTTGGCAAGAACACACGGACAACTGAGTGATCATCGAGTTGTCCAAAAGCAAAGACCTGATGCTAACACATCTGTTTTATTTTCCCAATCAAAGAAAGTAATTTTAAAATAAGGGCAACATCCTAATTACATATGCATGTATGTCCTTTTTTGTTAGCATTTTAAAGTAAACAAAATTACAAAAACACCTAGTGTTTATATCAGGAAGTGGGCATTTCAATAATTCATATACAAATTTTCTAGTAAATCAAAAAGATGCAATTATCTATATCAAATTGCTCCAAAATGCTTTTAGTTACTACCATACTATTTATGCAAAATCAAGAGTTATTAATGACTTTAAAATGTTAATTTAGCCATAAATGATAATTTCCTGGGTGATTCATTCTTTTAAAATATCATAATCCAACGTAGATCTGAGTTTTCTAGCTAGGAACTAAACAGCTTAGGCTATAATAAACATTTGTTCTACATGTCATCTTCTTAAACTCTCTTATAGGTTAAGTAAATGCGGACTGGGAGCACATTTCATGATTATTTTTGTGGCAAAATTTTGAACAGACTGTATGGCTTTTGGAAAGAAATAGGTCCTAATATATAAATTGCTAATTTGATTGAAAACCCAAAAGGATGGCATTCAATTTCTTTTTCCTTCATATTAATTATTAAAATTTTTGAGATTCACGAATTGTAGTTGGCAGTGACTCAGTACTTATTTTGTCTAGTGAATTGCTAAATGGTAGCTGTTCCATGCCCTTACCAGGCATGAGTGTTCTTAAAATATGTCCCAGGGCCAAACAGTTAAACCATTCTGCTCTAAAAGCTACTGTTCAGCAAAACAGCAGAGTCGCCAACGAACTACAGAGACTGGATAGCATTTCAAAACTGTATCCAAATCTCCCCATAAAATGAAAATGATATAACTTCCATCGATTCAAGTTCATTATTCCTAAACAGACCTTTGCCTTTAAAAATGAGTACAGGGAGGAAGGTTAAAACTAGGACTGGGGTAGGAATGTGTTTGCAATAGAACCAAAGTCAGCTGTGTCTCTGAATGAGGGTTTGACTACAGAGGCCTGTTGGTCTCCTGTTCAGCTAATTATATTTGAGTGTCATATCTGACTTCAACAACACCTGCCCTTTAGGCATCTCCAAGAAGCAGGAATTTAAAAGGCATCTTGGTTTCTCTCAGGAAACCTTAAAATGATGGATTATTTCCTCTTCTGTCCAATTTGAAACCCCAGCCATTGGTCAAAAATCCCAGGTATTGTCTCTTTACATTTAGTATCACCAACATTCTCCATGTTCACATAGATCTATATTATTACAGATTTCTTATTTGAAATCTTAAATTTTTAAAAGCTATTCTGATGATGGAGTTGAAAGCCATATTCGGGATTATCTCTTCAACTCGGAAGATTATCTTTTACAACAGCCTTTTAAAAGTATTTTTATCAGTCTGTATTATGTTACTTTTTTTTTTTCCAGTATTTAAAGATCGAGACTTTCTGTCCTTCTCTTGGCATTTTTATCCCATATTTGGATTATAAACCTATTTCTAAAATTTTGCCTTTTCTCATTTCCTGTCAAGTAAATTTATTTTAAGGGTGACTCTGCTGAGAATTGATCTAATCATAATATTTTATGTAGAAATCTGACTAGGTGTGACTGAGGATCAGACATGAGGCTTATGATAGGAAGCTATAATAAAATGATTAAACAGATGGAAACAAATATCCTGGTGAATTATTTCTTGAGAGTAGGACTAGGTCCTCAGATATATATATTCCAGTTAATTTCTTGCCAAAGCATCTGTTTCCTTTCTCACAGACAT